CACCCCCTACTACTAATAGGTCTAGTGGACCTTCAAAATTCTTATACTGTACGTTAAGGGTGGCCTCCCCCTTAACACACACTCTCGAGTTTTGAAAGTCTGTTAACACAATGTCAGAAGGCCTTAATTTGGCCTGAGTTCCACTGCCGGAACAAATCTTCCTAAATGTATGCAAGGATATGATTGAAAGGGCAGACCCCTGTCTAGTTCCATAGTTAATGGAACCCCTTCTAGCTTCACCTTGAGTGACAGCTTTTTCTTAATGGGCTTGTGTGTGCCTGTCCTGAAGATGCTCCTTCGCAAAGCGCAAAATCCTACCCTATTCTGGCTAGGGACCCTGGTACCTTTCAGGCGCAGTTCTTCCTGAGGTTGTACCTTTCGTCGGCCCAGACACACAGCTGCAATATGTCCTTGTTTCCCGCACGCCCGGCAGATAGCGGAGCGGAACTTGCAGTCGGTTCTCCTGTGGCGACCTCCACAGCCGATGCACTTGAGGGGAGCTGCAGAGCTTCCTTTCTGATTCCCTTCCTTCGTGGGGTGGAGACGGTCGACTTCCTCGTCCGGATCCTCCTCGGAGTTCCCTTGGACGTCCTCTTGGTGCACGGATGCAACATCTGGACTGTTCCTGATTGGCCGCATGTTCTTGACGGCGCTGCCTGCTGCTTCTTCTGCGGTGACCTCTCTTATGACATCTTGGAAGGACAAGTCTTCTTTGGCGAAAAGCCTCTGTTGTAGATCTCGATGCCTTAAGCCGCACACGAATCGGTCCCTCAGTCGTTCTTCGAGGTCCTTGAACTCGCAGTGCTTGGCGGCCTTCCTCAATGCGGTGATGTACTCTTTGGCCGACTCTCCGGATCGTTGATCCCTCTGCTCGAAGGTGTGGCACCATGCGATGACGAACATCTTGGGCTGGAAGTGCTCCTTCAGTAGCTTCTTTAGATCTGCGTAGCTGACAAACTCTAATGGGACAGGTGCTGCAAGGTTCTCTGCGATTTTGAAGGCGTCTTGACCGCAGACACAAAGCAGGGTGGCAGCCTTTAAGATATCTTCCCTCACTTGGTTCACCTTGAGGTAGTTTTCCACCCTGGCTACGTAGGACTCCCACCGCTCTGGATGTGAGACGTCGAACTCCAAAAGCCTTCCAACCTTTGCCATCTTCAGGAGACAGGTCTATCAGCCAGCCTACCCCCGAATGCACCCTGGATTGGCGGGTAGCTGCCGAGTCAACGCCGTTCCGCCGTTCAGGACTCACTTGGGTAAGCTTACACCTCTTCCTTTCCAGGCGATGTAAGGCGATCCCACCTTCATCGCCAGTGTTGAGTCCTTGGCGAAAAGCAGACACGAGAAGCAGTTGTAGTTCTCAGGTTTTCTTTTCTTCTGTGTTCAGTTTACAGGTGAAGGCTTCAGCAACACCCAAAAGCTCCCAGCCTCTTATATAGGCAATTCCCGGGTCAATGTGTTACTTTTCCCGCGCCAGCACCCGCGCATGCGCACAGGCGCTGGCGACAGCCTGTCTGGTCCCGGGCAGCTTGCACCTGCCCGGGACTGCCTGCAAACGCCCCAAGCCCGTTTGCAAGGCTCGGGACATAACATATTCCATTCACATGGTTTCAAGATGCTGGCATTATTCCATCAATTTGAAAAGGAGCGACACTATGGAAAAGATAGTGTGCTTTCCAGTCACAAGGGTGGGTTTGTGCACTGGGACTTGACATTCAGAAACATTAAGACAAATACATGTGAGTTTTTAAGCGGGAAGGTTGTTGGTGATAGGACTTTTGTTTTTGTTCTTGTTTGTTTTTGTATGACCAATCTCCTTTGATTGTAAAGTTCTAGAGAAAGAGGATTGAATGAATTTAAGAGGTAATAGGATGAGAAACTGAGTGAAAGAGAAATTAACAGATTTGCTCATTCATATTCAGTTATTCTATGAACAGCTGTTAGTTTGCTTTGGTACAAAACTCAAACAAAGATGAAACATTACACAATAGAGATTTACAATTCACACCTTTGCAAACATTTTATCCCTTTTACATGAAGCTATGGCAAAATATTTACCTTGTCTTTGATTAAATATGCAACAGCCGGATGAAACAGCTTTGCAGGTTACATTCATCTGCTAGTTGACCAACCCTAGGTAGAAAATTTTGGAACACACTTATTGATTTCATAGTTAATTAGAAAAGCTGTAAAATAAACTGACAATTATTCTTAGAAACCATTTGACTAATAACTTGGCAGCAATACATATTTCATGTATTGTAATATGCTGAAAGATATAATGCCAAAGGCAGGTTGATAAACCAACTGATGACTGGAACAAAAACTCCCAAAACCATAATTTGAAGATTGCTTTAATTACATTATGTGATATAAATGATCTAAAAATTAAAATAAATTATCTGCATATTCTTATTAGAGGCATAATGTCATATAGAACTTTAGTCAGCCGGAACATCTGAATTCATGAATACACAAAACAGTCCTTGGGTATTTGTTACTTATTCTGTAATACAGTTAATGAAACAATTACTCTTTGCAAAGAACATTATGAAAAATAGATAATATATGAAAAGATGAAAGAAAATTATTGATTGTGATAACTCAAATGTGATTGTAATTTTGTATTACATCAGGTTTCCAGGGGTCAGTTTTGTTCAAGGTGACTTTGCTTATTGTAGCTTAGAATAGTGCTATACATTGATTTTAATTCATTTTGATGAAAAAAATTGAGCTTTCTTTCAATGTAACTTTTTAAGAAGACAGCTTCAGTGAAATTCCCAAGGATGGAGGATGGATTTCTTGCAACATTATATATTTAACTGTGAGATGGGAAGTGGTACACATGAATGTTCAGAATTTCCCTATACTATTGTCTCACTAACGATGTTCAGCATTCAAGTTTCCATAAATCCCAAGCGATCATAAGAAGGAAGCTTGTCCCATGAGGGTTGTGTTTTGTTTTTGTTTGGTTTTGTTTTGTTTTAGATAAGGATGTATAGGCAGCTACATAAGGTCCAGAGTTTAACAGAAAACAGCACACCAACAAGGTACTCTTGCTATCTTCAAAGGAAGCACAAAATTATCACCAACAGACAGAGAGGATAAAATCTTGACACCCCCCTTTGTAGCCTTTGAAAAATCCTGAATCATGTTTCAGTATATTCAGGAGTCAGCTGTTGCAGAAGTCAATTTCACTATCAATCAAGTACAGTCCTTTACATCTTTATTCAAAGGAAAACCCTATTACTTAAAAAAAAAAAAAAGCTTAGTAAGGAAACTGTATATTGACAAATTGGGTGGTTTTTTTTCCCCCTTCTTTATTTATTTACTTGTTTTTATGTGCCAGAGCTAATATAGGTTAAGAGCACATATTTTTCAGATTATTTAGTTTTACAAGCAATACTATATTAGGAAACAAAACATTCCTTTCAATAATGTTAAGGTGGTTTTCATTTATTTAATTTTATTAAAATTACTTTAATTTAACATATTTGGTCTCAAAATATTATTTGTAACTCTCCTAGTTGTAGGTGTATTGAAGTTTTGATCAGTGTGAAGCACATTGTTGCTTAACAGCTGTATAATTAGGCTTTGCATAATTATACTTTAATAATTATACTGTAGTTTATATTGCAATCTTAGAATTTATAAATGATCAGTATAAATGATATTTTAGAGTATGGAATTCTATATCTTATTTTTTATTTTTATTCTGATTGTTATGGTTTATGGTTAACAAATGAATTCACCTGATGTTTTCATGGTATGAATATATTTTTCAGTGTATTCAGATAATTAAAACAGAACTTTTTTAAAAAAATAATTGAAACATTACCCTTTTTTATTTTCCTACGTTCACTTTAGAATTGATACAATTATAAGGATCAAACTTGTCAGAATGAGTTTTCTGTCATTTTTAAAGTACAGACTTGATGACTCTACTTTAAAAATGAGGCACGATACAATCTCTGTTTAGAATGTCGTAACTTTGTCAAAGCTGTGATAAAGCTATGACTTTTTTACACTTTGGTCATAAGGTACCTGTAGCCTTTTTGATGTGATTGGATTCCAGATTCTTCCAACACCAGTTATCCTATTTGAATTACAGTTTAATGATATTTGGTGGGCTGCATGTTTTCTGCTCCTGATCAGTTATAGCATCGTCATATGATAGTGGTTTCATTACTCTGTTTTACAAGTAGGAAATTGCATGTTCTCTTTCTTAAAGAAAAAAAAAATACAAAGAAGCTATAAGTCATCTACATTTCTTCTATCGTTCTTTTCCCTCAAGATGTCTGTGTTTATGTATGAGTCAAATTGCTTTAATGTATGTAAACAGCTAGAACAGCCTACAGTATATAATATACAGAATCAGCTTTCCTTTTTTTTGACAGAACATGTCACAATTCACTTCTTAAAATGAAAAATGATCATTTGCAAAAATATGTCACACAAATGCTTTGGCAGTTGGAAAGTACATAGCATTGTTAATCATCCAGAAACTAACTTTCTTTTGGTGGCTTAAGTTAAAGGGACTTTTAGATGACATCTGCAGGTTATGATTCAACTTGCTTGAATTATCAACATGACTTTTTCCTTGATGTTCAGTCTCTTATTCCTTCATTGGCTTGTATCCTCTTGTCTTTATTTATGATGCACCATAAGACAGACTCTTGGAAAGGTCCAAGATTAAAGGGATGGGGAAGCTGAGATACAGCATTTCTTACACAAATAGGATAAATACTTTATGATTCTTTCTGTTAAGGACAAAATACAGACAAGTTTTGCCAGTTGATTTTAAGACTCACAGATCTATGATTTAGTGGATCTGATGTATAAAGTACTTCTCTTCTTCAACTGAACTTGATAATCTTTTTTTTCCTTCTCCCACTGAGGCTTCTTCTGCCTAGATTTACTTCCTGCTTCTTCACAGCAATTTAGTGATTTAAGAATGGGTGCTTTGTATGATCAAAAATCTTTCTTTCTTCTTTTTTAAGGAAGCTTGCAAGTCCGATACAGACTGAGTAAAGACAAATCCCTTATTTTCACAATTGATTCTGGAAACTTTGCTAACAGAGAACTACACAGTGTGAAGATAAATAGAGATGGAAGAGAGCTGACTATTCAGGTATCTATTTTACCCTTTGTTGTGGCCCACACCTTCCTGAATTTTTTACTATCCTTAATAATCAAACGAAAAGATAAATTTGATACCTGTCCTGAAAAGCACATGCCCATATCTGTTATAGTTGCTGCTGGGTCTGTAAGTAGCTACAGCAATGGCAGGGTCAGATAAGCGCTTGCCCAGTCAAGTGACTGTTTTGTCTTCTGGCTGCAGCAACTACTTTAAGACTGGAAATAAGGGGCTCAAGAACAGGAAAAAGGATGATCCAGAGTTTTAATTATTCATTGTCCATGTTTCTACTCCATACAGAAAAACTAGCAAGTCATAACAACATATAATCAGCTGACAAATGCTAAATTTATTTATCTTTCAAATAACTAGTCTCCTTTGTTCAGCCCTGTTACTTATTGCCATGCTTTGATCCCATGTCATTCAAAATACAGCACTCCTGGTACTTTTTTCTCTAGAAGAGTATATACAGTATATAGATCAGGGTTGAACTATGGAGTTCTTTGTGCTTTCTGCACTTGGTTGTTTCTTTGAGACATTCGAAACATATGCAGGCAGACAACCAAGCTCAGAAAGAATCCAGGAACTCTATTTCTTTCTCTGTTAGCATAATGCTCAATGTAGGGATTTAATATTTACTGATGACTGTTAATTTTGTTTTTTCCCCAATTTATAATTAGCCTATAAAATTAACTCAATTGGTATATTTACTAAAGTCACTTCCTATCAATATAATGATATCATCCACATACCAAAAATAATAGGCTACAGATATTGGAGAATGAAAACACATAGTGAAAAAACAAAGTTTGTATCTCCCTCCCTTATAAAAACTGATGGGATCCCAGTAAAGTTTGTAGTAAAATTGAAACACATACTTTGATGCATTATAAAAGTTTTTAAAAAAAGCCAGAGAATAGAACTTGTTCTTACTTATATTAGGTGTGTGAAAGATCAGCAACAAAAGAATCGTGTTGGTATATGCCATAGTTACAGATATGGGAGAAATCAAAAGGAAGAATGATAGGAAAATGTCAAAAAGAAAAAAATTGGCTCCTGATATCACTGATCAACACCAGATCTAGAATGCAATAAAGAAATATATAATTAGCTTCATGATACATTTAAGTTAAAGCTAAATGTATAGGCTGATTAAGGATTACAATGTCAAAAGGATCTTTTGCCTTCGTTAGGGAATTATTCATGAAGATGTATTTTGCATTTGGCTCACCCTGTATTCAAGAGAATACAGTTCAGTAGGTTTGCGCTAATGACTTCAAAATGAATTTCCCCAAATAACATCATTCTGCCTGTTGTGCTAATTACCATATAAGGCATCTTTGATCAGAAGGCTGATTGTGAATTATTCTAATAATTCTGTGCTTTGACACATAAAGAATGAAAGATCAATGAATTCTAAACACCTGTTGATTTGTAGCCCTTCATTTCTCAAATACTGTTCTGCTATTGTGTATGACTTGGCATAGGAATATACATAATTATAACATAAGAAACTGAAAACAGAATCAGCATCAAGCTGATTAAGAATCCAGGCTAAATTCAGTTCTAGGAAAACAAATTGGACAGCTTCCCAACATTGTCTGACCTGCACAGATATTGGAATGATAAAGCTGACAGCTACAACCTTGGGGAATTATTGAGCTGCTCTCAAAATCTCAGTGTTATGCAAACATGGGGAAGATTTCCCTGACAGGAGCCTCATGTTGGAGTGAAATATAAATGTGAAAAAATGCATACCAATCAAAGAGTAGAGCATTCACTTGCTTATGAAAGCATTGTTAATACCATGCATTTTTGCTTCCTTTCCAGATTGACCAGGTTCTCAAAGTCAAACACAACTTTTCCTCCGAGGTTGAGTTCAGAGCCATCAAATCACTGACCTTAGGGAAAGTGACCGGTAGGCATATGTGATAATTTTCTGGTTTATAGATAATTATATTATGGTCAACTGTGCAATGTATTGTTTGAATACATGTTGACACACTTTTATTTTCAATATGTTGTTTACATCTCTGCTATGTCTAAACAGTGCTAATATTAAACTCTTTGCAAGAGTTTACATTCTTTTTTTAAAAAAACTTGGCCAGACATAAATGCTGATTATGACTATAAGATCTTTTTTGTGCAAGACTATAGAAGAAAAATGTTGAGTTATGAGGGCTATTGAGCTCGTGAACAGCTCAATAGCTGATTGTCACAGACTTCTAAAATAGGAACAGGCTGTAAAGCAGATAATATTTTAGGGGTTATTTTTAGTATTCCATATTTAGTGAGTGGCAAAATAGAAGTAATATAACAACAACAAAGAGAATGAAGTACTTTGAAGCTGGTACAATACAATCCCATGCATGCTCATTTAAAAATGGATTCAGTTGAGTTTAATGGAGTTTATTGCTAGGGAAGTTTGCACATGGTTGCAATTTAAGATGTATAGCACTATTACATGTGGTAAGCCACATTGCCACATTGCCAAGAGTTAAGGGGAGGTGTTGCTGCAATTGTTCTGAGACCACTGAATCACTAACAGCACCAGCCTGGAGATGACTATTGCATATGTCTGTTAAATTGGGCCATAATGACAGTCTGGACTAACTGTCCATAGGCACCTGGATACCATTTCAGGTCTGGTATTAGAATCCCAAAGCTTTTGATCTTGGGAAGCTTGAATTCTCACACTCTGGGAGTGAATTCCAGAGAGACTTGTGAGATCATGGCAACCATGACAACCATGTTATAGGTAATAGTGGCTATAATACACATAGATGGTCATAGGCAGTGGTGAGATTCAAATATGTGAACAACCGGTTCTCTGTGTGGATGTTGCTTTCAGAAGTCTGTTCTGGGCCTGGGCAACAAAAAAATAGCTACCGGTTCTGCCAAACTGGTGCAAACTGGCTGAATCCCACCACTGGTGCAGGCCTGATTTGTTGTTTACACAGAGTAGATGAGAAGTGAGCTGAATCTAGAGAACATTAATATCTGTCCTTTCTCGTGGTCAAATCACTTTGTACTCAAATTACACATTGTCAATGAACTATCAGGATGACAACCAATTTATGCCTGGTTGACCTCTGGAATACCAGAACTGGGAACCTTTTGATCGAGATAATTTATAAATCTTCTTTTTCTCCTTCCTTCCCTCAGAATTCACATTATCTCCATCCAGTATTTTTCTTTGCATGCATAGATAAAGAGGAATGCTGGCTGGGCTGAGGAGAATCATGAAGGGAGGACTATATAGAAAGTCCTGCCATTTGGAAAAGTAAAGAAAATGCAATCCCTGAACGTCCTCTGACTGAACTGAATCTCTTACCACTTCCTCAAAATCCTCATAATTCTCCTCTCTCATTTACACATTCCAGGAAAATGAATCTATGATTACAGTGTATATGATAAAGCGGGGTGGCAAGGTTTTTTTTATTATTATTGTGAGCAGCCTTTGGTTCTTTGAGATAAACATGGAATAAAAATGTTGTAAATAAACAGGAGTACTTTCCATTGCAGTTATGCCAAGCATCCAAGAAATTAAAACATTATTTTTACGTTAAGAGACCAGCATTTGAGAATAAAAGATTTCCCACTCTGTGTCCTTGAATGTTCAGAACTGATACTGGACTAAACCAATAACTTAGCCTGCAGTAAAAATCATGGCATAAAGACTAGACTGGAATTGCTTCTGAACAAGAGAATGAGATAGATGGTTAGTGTGCATCCAAGAACACTTATAAGGAAGTGACTATTCTAGTCCAGTAAAGCACACAAAGCCATTGAGTTTGATTTGTACATCTCTCCATACCCTTAAAAAAAACTAGCCCTTGCATGTGTGCAAATGATAACATACCCAAACCCCTTGTCCCTTCTCTTTATTTAATCAAGCAACTCTCTGCAGAATCTACTGCCATTTCTTTTAGTTAAAGCAATTGATAGTCTAGCTGGAGGCTCCATTTAATGATTGCTAACAGGTGGACATTGTTCAGTGCTTCAAAATTTAAAGACACCACTGGATACGCACTCCAGATGTGAATCTCCTTATCTTTATCAAAGCGAGGCTATGAAACAGACCCAGCCTTTTCCTGAAATTAATTACCTTGCTTCCAGGCAATCTGTTTTCCCTCGATGTGAATATCTCATCTGGGAATTTTTCAGGATAGTAAAGGAGCTGAAATTAAATGGCTGTGTTTTCCATTAAATTAAAGGGGATGCTTTTTATGTGCATAGTCACTCATGCATGTCCATATCTTATATTCAAGGGGAAGATTAACTGAATGAATCAAAGAGTCTGCACACAAGCCAGTTCTGAAATTAACTGTATATAAATCTCAGAAGCCAGGTGGAATGGAACATGAAACTATGTCAGCAGTGTCAGTTAACTAAGCAAGAAATGAGGGATAATATATAAAATTAGTTATTTTTTCCAATAGCCATTTAAATACGGTATCACCCAAACTCTGCAAAATTACAGTTCTGATTTAAAAACAGGTTTTAAAATTACAATTCCACAACAATGTTATCTAGTGAGCACCCTTGATTTTGATCTCTAGGTTTTTATTACATGGATATTGGAAGGTAAAAGTATGCATTCTTGCATTATTTCAGATTTTATCTAGCTATTTGGTGGAGGAAGTATACAGTTCTTATAATTTAATGGGACAATTTGCATTCTAAATCCTTCCAAACCTGAGTGTTTATCTTGCCAATATTCTAAGTCCGCCTTCCCAGAATGGGTGCTTTTCAAATATGCTGATGGGATTACATCAAGATAGCAAGTTCATCAACTGTGTTGATGGGGAGTTTGAGCATTATAATTTTACAATATGTTAAGGTCTTTAGGTTAAGAAAAATGGACTAAAGATTGGAATTCCTGATCACTAGTTTCAAACAGGACATCTGTTGATTGCAGAGTATGATTAATTATTGAAAAAATCTATTACAGCCCACAATAGTTCCCTGTCTCTCTCATTAATGACTGGACCTGGAATCCAATATATGGAAGGCCATAGTCCTTACGTTATGAAATGAATTGGAAACATCATCAACCTGGACACAATTTTAATTTCCTTGGGGTAGAGCCTACAGTCCACAGTAACCTGCTTGTTCCAGTTCTAGATTTCACAAAATTCAGCCTGCTTCTTCACAGTTTCAGAGCTGTACAAAACTCTGTGTGATAACAACTGTAGCAAAAGGAAGAAAATTTATATTGTTTACCTAAAATTTCAGACTAGGGAGAGAAAAAGGAGGCAGAGAGCATTAGATTTTATATCTATCTTTAAATCTTTGCAATCGAACCACCATTGTTTGGCTTCAGTTTTGGAAAATAGGTTGAATTACAAAACAGTACGGACCTAAAGTTACTGTTTAAGTTTCTATAACTGAGTATAAACTTCAAAGTCAAATTGAACCATCTGTCATCCTTGATTTATGAGATACACAGGTTACTAGCTACTTTCTGGATGCAATTCAAGGAGTGCTGGTTATCAGCTATAAAACTACACATGGTATAGAGCTTGGTTATCTACTCAATCAATGAGTTTGAGCAGAATGTGCATGCTGCAAGTGCCTTCAATTGAATAATCCCCATCTCCCAAGATTAGTACAGTCTCATTCTAGAGTTGTTCCAGAAGTCATTAAAGTGTGGCTCTGCTCCAAGGTCTGGGGTTAAGGGTAGATGCTGAGTTGTTTTGTTGGTGGTAGTTTTGATTGTATTTTTGTTGTTTTGGTTTCCTGGACACAGATTTTTTTGACTGGTTTTCTTTGTTTGAATTGAAATTATTTTCTTTTGGGAATCAGGTGGTCTTCCAATCTAATAATATAAATAAATAAAAATTAAAGAAAAGCAATACACACACACACACACACATACATACACCTTTACATAGATATACATTTGTGATAGTGGCGAATATTTGTAGCTCGAGTGTAGGATGAGAGTAGAGATTGGTTATCTGAGCTTCTGAGTTGGTTTCTGAACTAAGTACAGTAGGTACCTAGGCTAGGTAACATCTTCAGTGGAATTTAGGGGAGAACAGAATTTTTCCCTAAATTCCACTGAAGATGTTACCTAGCCTGGTAACAAAACATTCGAAAACCAATCCACAAGATCAGAGAACGAACCTCCACACTCATACACATACATGCACACAATAAATATGCATACACAATTGGAAAACCTGACATCATATTTTGAAATGTGAAGCTTTTGAATGCTATTGGTTGTCTAAAATAAATAAATAAATAGCACCATTAGCAATGGAGTATGAAAGATCAGGAGGACAAGATCCTCCCTTCTCACTACCAACCCCATTGTTCTGTTCTGAAATAGAAACAGTCCACAATGTATCTTTCTGAATGTATCAGGAAATTGTTTGATTACTTTTATTGTAGAAGTGGAATCTGATCTTCCACTTAAGAATTGCCAGTTGATATTGGCCATCCCTCAGAACAATTAGAGGGTTGTTTTGTTTTGTTTTTTCAAATTGTCCAATTCTACCTGGATCTCAGTACGCAGTAACTGTTGGGGAGAGTCGTTTCACAATGAGAGAAAAACATTCTAGTCCCACCTCTAGAGACTGCTATTATTGTCAGAAATAGAGTTTGCATTACTTAATTGCTGTGCCTTATGCTATACTTTAGGGAATGTCGATAGAATCCCTTTGGGAAGGATTGCCCAAATGGAGGGTTGTAAAGTCTCCACCCTCTTCCTCGTGAAGTCTTTCTTTTGGAGCATTATTTTTAGAATGAATTATTGTTCTCTCAATTGACTGCAGCTGTCTGCTCTCAAAAGCATTTTTCTTTGGCATTTATAAATCTTCATTAAGTTACATCCACGAAGCTTTTTTTTTCTTTTTTACTTTAATATTCGGCATTATGAACCAAATGGGAATGGTTATATTTTGACAT